TTCCTTGGAGAAGTATCTATTCAAGTCTTTTGCCTATGTTTTGTTAGTTTTTTTATTATTGAGTTTTAAGTATTCTTTGCAGGCCAGGTGCGGTGGCTCACGCCTGTAGTCCTAGCCCTCTGGGAGGCCGAGGTGGGCAGATTGCTCAAGGTCAGGAGCTCAAAACCAGCCTGAGCAAGAGGGAGACCCTGTCTCTACTATAAATAGAGAGAAATTAATTGGCCAACTAATATATATAGAAAAAATTAGCCAGGAATGGTGGTGCATGCTGTAGTCCCAGCTTACTCGGGAGGCTGGAGGCAGGAGGATCGCTTGAGCCAAAATTGAGGTTACTGTGAGCTAGGCTTGACGCCCAGGCACTCACTCTAGCCTGGGCAACAAAGTGAGACTCTGTCCCCCCAAAAAATAATAAGTATTCTTTGCAAATTCTCCCTTATCAGCTGCATTATTTGCAAATACTCTCATTCTGTGGATTGTCTTTTCACTTTTTTGTGTAATTGGAAAATTGTATATATTTATTATATACATGTTTTGAAATGTGTATACTGTACATTGTGGAATGGCTGTAATTACCTCATATACTTTTTTTTCTGGTGAGAACATCTAAAATCTACTCTTGGCAATTTTTTTTTTTTTTTTTTTTTTTTACAGGAACTGTCAAAGTGCAGCTAGTTGAGGAGGGGGAAAAGTGTGACAAGGAGTTCAATCTGTAACGATGACTGTGGAACATCACGTGAGATAACTTGCACTACCTTGGGACCAGCCTACAATTTTTTTTTTTTTTGAGACAGAGTCTGACTTTGTTGCCTAGGCTAGAGTGAGTGCCATGGCATCAGCCGAGTCACGAACCTCAAACTCCTGGGCTCAAGCAATCCTACTGCCTCAGCCTCCCGAGTAGCTGGGACTACAGGCATGCGCCACCATGCCCGGCTAATTTTTTCTATATATATTAGTTGGCCAATTAATTTCTTTCTATTTATAATAAAGAGGGGGTCTCGCTCTTGCTCAGGCTGGTTTCGAACTCCTGACCTAGAGCAATCCGCCCGATTTGGCCTCCCAGAGTGCTAGGATTACAGGCGTGAGTCACTGCGCCCAGCCCTACTCTTGGCAATTTTTAAGAATACATTGTTATTAACTATAGCCAACACGTTGTACAATAGATCCTTGAACTTACTCCTCCTAACTGAAATTTTGTATCCTTGGACCAACATCTTTCCAACCTCCTCCCCTTTCAGATTTTTTTTGAGACAAGTTCTTGCTCTGTCTCCCAGGCTGAAGTGCAGTGGCACAATCACAGTCCACTGCAACCTCGAACTCCTAGGATCAAGCCATCCTCCTGCCTCAGGCTCTCAAGTGGCTAGTGACTAGGACTACAGGCATGTGCCACCACCACTGGCTTTCTATTTATTTAATTTTAAAGACAGGGTCTATGTTTCTCTGGCTGGTCTCAAGCGATCCTCCCACCTAAGCCTCCCAAAGTGCTAGGATTAGACATGAGAGCCAACGCTCCTGGCTTCTTTTTCATTTTTCTTGATAGTGTTCTTTGAAGCATGTAAATCTGTAATTTGGTAAATTCCAATATCTATTTTTGTTGTTGCTGCTTATGGTTTTGGCATTATATATAAGAATCCTCTTATTTGAATTTGAATCCTCAAATTCAAGGTCATGAAGACTTTCCCATTGTCCTCTAAGTTTTATAATTTTTGTTCTTATATTTAGGGCTTTGATCCATTTTGGGTTTTTTTATATGGTGTGATGTTAAGGGTCTAACTTCATTCTCTTGCACAAGGCTACCCAATTTCCCAACACCACTTGCTGAAAAGACTATTCATTCTTCACTAGATGACACTGGTATCCTTGAAAACCAGCTGACCATATTTATACGTAAGAGTTTATTTCTGAACTCTCAATTTTATTCCACTAATCTATGCCCATCCTTGCACCAGTATCATAGTGGTTTTGTAATAAGTGTTGAAATCAGATAGTGTGAGTCCTACTTTGCTCTTCAAGATTTCCAAGATTGTTTTGGCTATTCTGGCTTACATTTTTACACGAAAAGAAAATTTTTTTTTGATACCAGGTCTGTCACTCAGGCTGGAGTGCAGTGGTGTGATCATAGCTCACTGCGGCCTCAAACTCCTGGGCTCAAACAATCCTCCTGCCTCAACACCTGGCTAATCTTTGTTTTCATTTTCCTATACACAGGATCTCACTGTGTTGCCCAGGCTAGTCTCCCTGGGCTCAGTGGCTAGGATTACAAGCATGAGCCACCACAACATGCCCTATATGCCTATCAATTTCAAGAAATCAGCAAGGATTATACTGAATCTGTAGATTAGTTTGACGAGTTATTATGTTAACAACGTTACTATGGGGCCGGGCGCTGTGGCTCACGCCTGTAATCCTAGCTCTTGGGAGGCCGAGGCGGGCGGATTGCTCAAGGTCAGGAGTTCAAAACCAGCCTGAGCAAGAGCGAGACCCCGTCTCTACTATAAATAGAAAGAAATTAATTGGCCAACTGATATATATATAAAAAATTAGCCAGGCATGGTGGCGCATGCCTGTAGTCCCAGCTACTCGGGAGGCTGAGGCAGGAGGATCGCTTGAGCCCAGGAGTTTGAGGTTGCTGTGAGCTAGGCTGACGCCACGGCACTCACTCTAGCCTGGACAACAAAGTGAGACTCTGTCTCAAAAAAACAAAAAAAAACAATGTTACTATGGGATATTTCTCCCAATTATTTTTACCTTCTTTCTTTCCAGTCTCTTTCACTCTCCATCTTTTAGTTATTTGAACAGTGCTATGCACCCTCCTGCCTCAGGACTATTTAGAACTAAACCTGCTTTTAGATGCAAAATATTACATGCCCATTTCACTACAATGTTGTGGACTTCAAGTTCTAAGATCCTTAAATTTTGACCCCCCATACATTTTCTCCACAAAGACTTACTTTAGAATAATCAAGGTAGGTATTGTATCAAGCACTTGAAAATACCAATTAGTCAACATGATCCTTCTAGCCAGGGATGCTTGTGTTTATGCCTATTTATTGTCTACTTGTGGTTAAGCAACTTGCCACAAATGGCCTCTCCTGGGGCTTCCATTCCCTTCAGTACTAAGGATCTTTGTTACTAATTATACCCTATGGATTCCATGATCTAAAGTTTAAATTTTTCTTCTTTGCTATCAAACATAAAACTGTCAAACTTTCCAATTACATGGTATACTAAAGGTGATATTCCTTTTAACTTTGCTCACTGGTAAAGGCTTAAAAATACCATGTGCTCCTTTTGCACCATTGGGCACTGTGCTAAATGCTTTGCACACATCATTTTTTTTTTTTTATCTCAATGACCCTATGATAAAGGCAGTATGTTATTACAGATGAGCTAACTACAACCTACACAAGCAACTTGTCAGATAAGGGGGGAAATTGCAGAAACATTTTAACACTGGTATTGTGGGTTAAATAATGTGGCCCTAATCACTGTAACATACTGTAAGATTGCTTTGGCCTTGAGAGATCCACAAGTGGGGAGTTATAAGGATCAACAGAATAAATTGAACTAAAACAATGACTCAGATAACAGATTCTTGGTTTGGGGGCAGCCGACCTCTCTTGGTTACTTGTAAAAATATGTCATAAGCAGTGACTAAGAATGAAAAGCAGCAACATGTTGGTCTCACATTCCTGGTACTGGCTACACACAGCTTTTCAAAACACATTTCATGGTCTGGTCAAAGTAGAAAAAGAAAACAAGAACAAAACCCATTTCATGGGATCAGTGAATACCGTGGCTTTCAACTTCTTTGTGGCTATCTTCAGTAACCTTAAATTGTCCCAAATTCCACATATTTCCTGCTTAATCACAATATGATAAAATATTAGTAATGAGGCCCCAAAATCAAAGCCCACAGGTAGAAATAGCAACAGAATTACCTTTTAAACATGAATAAGCCTCAGACCTCGTCTTGAACAAATGCTTAAATAACAGTGAAAAAGTGCTTGCTTTGGAAGCACATACAGTAAAATTAGAATACACTAGTGTAAAAAAGAGACGTTGAAACTACAGCTTGGCAAGCTTTAATATGACAGCTACGAAAGCGAAGAGGGTAGTTCATTTGACCCTAAGTATTAAGCAGTTTTTAGTCACCTTTTCCTTACATCTAGATAGTCATAGACATTACTCAGATTACACTGCCTATCAAATTCAACCTATTTTGGCATAGAGAAAATTGACACCTCAAACTGCTCAGGGCAACCAAAATACAGTAGTCCTCCATTATCTGTCGGGGACATATTTCAAGACTCCCAGATGCCTGAACCAGATAGCACCAAACTCTTAAGTGGGTTTTTTAAATCTGATAATCAAGATGGTTACTAAGTGATTAATGGGTACACACCATCAACATGTGACTAACATCCCAGTGGGACAGAGGAGGATGGCACAAAATCTTATCATAGCACTCAGAACAGCATGCAATTTAAAACTTATGACTTACTTCTGGAATTTTCCACATAATATTTTTGGACTGTGGTTGACCACAGTTGTAAGTAAGTGCTGTATTATTTGGCAAGATGAAATTCTGACTGTGCTTATTTGTAGAACAATGCCTGGCTACTCAACAGCCATCATCTGGTTCTTTTTATTTACAAAAGTTGGATACAAAATACTATTATGCCTGCAGTCCAATCAGGAAGGGTGTATAGGATAGTAACTGCTAAATTAGTAACAGTGATTTTATGAATAAAAATTACAGAATGAAGGCAATTTTAAATATTGATGGCTATGTCAGGGTCAGGAGAGTTAGGACAAAATCGGCCTTAAAATTAAGAGGATGAAAGTATCACTGTCAAAACAGCCTAAAGAAATATGTTTCTGAATTATATAATCTGGTTCTATGCCATATAATATAAAACATCTTTTTTATATCACTTTGAAAAGTTCAAAACAGATGAAAGGAAGTTCTAGAAAAGAGTATTAAAAACAAAACAAAAGGATAATTAGTATAATGTCTTTATTAATGACAAATTCGTTGTTGATTCCTTCCTTGTACTCCTCCACTGGTTTTCTGGACACAGCTCAACTGATCCTGTCAATTAAAGGAAATGATTACTCCAAAGAATGTAAGAGTAAGGATTATCAAGTCCTCAAACATAACATTATTTATCAGCATCAACCAAGTGAACTTCCTAACACCAAAGAAATCTTATTAAGGAATATGACATTAATAGTAATTAATGATTCACACACTAGTATGATTACTTTTGTACTACCCCAGAGTCTTTCTGAAGGCCACTTAAGAATAAGAATCACTCAACTTACCTAGATACTTTTGTCAGTCTAACAACTCGTGGATTTCCTTCTTGGCTCACGCAGTGATGTCTTGAGAACAAATATCTATCCACCTATAATTTAAAAATATTCAGCATATTTTAATTTTTAAACTGAATATTTTTTGGTGTAGGTTCCAATCAATGATTTTATTTATTTTTGCCCTGTTATGGCTTATAAAAGACCTGATCTACACCAAGGTTATACTCTCACATTTTCTTCACATGTACTTAGGATTTTCCCTCCTGCCAGTGACTAGAATTATTCCTATACCATTTATAGCTTAAGTAAAAAAGAATTAAGGAGATTTTCAAAGGGTCTAAAACTGAATTTAGAGTACTGAAAAAATAACATTTCTCCATTAAATCAAGCTTTCTCTTTTCTTCTATGTAACAACATAGCCGTGCATTCTTAAAATTCTAATCTATGTTTTTGCCCACAAGGCTTGATGGTTTTTTCCTAGTTTTCTAAAGAGAGAGCATTTTTTCCTCTGTTACCCAAGGCTGGATTGCAGTGGCCTCATCACAGCTGGACCAGTGGACTACACAACCACACCTGGCTAATTTTTCTATTTTTAGTAGAGAGATTCTCACTCTTGCCCAGGTTGTTTGTTTTATTTACCCACATTAATTCTAATACTTGACTTTTTTTTTTTTCTTTCTTTCTTTTGAGACAGAGTCTCACTTTGTTGCCCAGGCTGGAGTGAGTGCCATGGCGTCAGCCTAGCTCAAGGCAACCTCAAACTCCTGGGCTCAAGCAATCCTCCTGCCTCAGCCTCCCAAGTAGCTGGAACTACAGGCATGCGCCACCATGCCCGGCCAATTTTTTCTATATACATTAGCTGGCCAATTAATTTCTTTCTATTTATAGTAGAGATGGGGTCTCGCTCTTGCTCAGGCTGGTTTCCAACTCCTGACCTGGAGCAATCCGTCCGCCTCGGCCTCCTAGAGTGCTAGGATTACAGGTGTGAGCCACCGCACCCGGCCTGACTTTTTTTTTTTTTTTTTGAGACAGGATTTTACTCTGTCACTGGGGCTGGAGTGCAGTGGTGTATCAGATAGCTCACTGCAACCTCCAACTCCTGGGGCTCAAGTGATACTTCTCCTGCCTCAGCCTCCTAAGTAACCGAACTACAGGCATGAACCACTGTGCCTGGCCTGTTTTGACACTTTTATAGTAAATATCTTGTTTTCTCACTCAGACATACACTTATTTTCCAAAACAAAAATTAATATAGGGATATAATATCTTGGAAAAGGTAAACATAAAAAAAAGTTTTGCCCCACATAGCTAAATCAAATTATTTTAACCATTAAACAGAAGACAAGGCCAAGCGCAGTGGCTCACGCCTGTAATCCTAGCACTCTGGGAGGCTAAGGCAGGCAGATTGCTCTTGCTCAGGCTGGTTTCGAACTTCTGAGCTCTAGCAATCCTGCCTCGGCCTCCCAGAGTGCTAGGATTGATTACATGTGTGAACCACCGCACCTGGCCACACTTTTCAAATAAGATCTGTGGGCCAGGCGCGGTGGCTCACACATGTAATCAATCCTAGCTCTCTGGGAGGCCGAGGCGGGTAGATCGTTTGAGCTCATGAGTTGGAAACCAGCCTGAGCAAGAGCGAGACCCCATCTCTACTATAAACAGAAAGAAATTAATTGGTCAACTAATAGATATAGAAAAAATTAGCCGAGCATGGTGGCGCATGCCTGTAGTTCCAGCTACTCGGGAGGCTGAGGCAGGAGGATTGCTTGAGCCCAGGAGATTGAGGTTGCTGTGAGCTAGGCTGACGCCACGGCACTCACTCTAGCCTGGGCAACAAAGTGAGACTCTGTCTCAAAAAAACAAACAAAAAAAACAGAAGACAAATCACACCCCAAATCCTCTAGAGGTTAAGATTACTAAGGAAACTTACTTCAAGTGAATGAGCACTCCAATTCAGCCAACATCAATCATTCTTACCTAAAGAATAATAAGAAAAAGTTAATATAAAAGACAAGGGTATAAAATAAAGGTTTGAAAATGCTAGTTAACTTCAAAATTTAAAGAGTAAAATTCCAGAGACAAAGATTGGGGGTAAGTTACAGCATAAAAAAATAGGAAGAGACTTTATGGGTGAAAAAAATTCTAAAATTATTCTTATATAATGTAGTAAGTAGACACCTGAATTAGAATGAAAACTGTATCTTCTTTAAAATATAAAAGCCTAACTTCTATTTTCACCAGTCTGAGAGCACAATGAAGTTTAACTGCAACCCAAAATATACTATCCCTTATGTGAAGGTATGTGACAACGTTTACTTCACCAAATGAGTTCTAACATCAGCTCTCTTTTAATATAAAAGCACATACCCTGCTCCCCATTCAAGTATGTCTTCCATTCTCCGGTGGGCTGACCACCTTCAGCAGGAATCTTCAGAGTTCCCCACCCCTTCCCACAATACACAACACTGCAGTAGTTATCCTGCAATCCTATTTTCTCATTCTTTCCCCTCACTGAGTTTTAGGTTAGGCAGGAAAGCTATGCCGTACTGGGACAGCAAGGAACCGAGCTGTTCTGAGGGAAAAGACCTTCACCTTCACTACATGCCTGGCAGGGTCACAGTGCACAAAACAGAAGATCAGCCTTAACTCAAGTTCCAGGTTTTCCTTCCACCCTGTATCATTAACTGCCAAGAGTATATGAATAAGAGTTCCCTGTTGCACATGTACCATCCATAAGGGATACTATATCGTTTTGCATTCCCCCCATTCTCCAGATTATCCTATTCTGCATCCAGCTCTTTTATCACTCTCAAAAAAAAAATCTTTTCAGCACTGGTGTTCAAAAGCAACATTTTTATGGTTGATGGTTTACTAGCAACTGTTGAGATTTCCACAGTTGAGTCTTAAAAATTGCCAATCATTATCTAGCAGCAATGACAGATGATTAGGAGCAGTCAAATCCTCTGAATTCTTTCCCTAATAGGCAGCCACTTGAGAACTGCACTAGCTGACAGCACTGAAACATTATCAGCTAAAGCCAAAACCAAATAAAGGCCCAGAACAAACATCCTGGCTCTCTAAAACCTATCCAAAATCATTAAGGGAAAGGCAGTAAATGCAGGACTGTGATGAATCATGTCACTGCAGCTGACAATGATTAACAAAAGGAGACATGCAACCCCCATTAAAGTTAAAAGTCCAAAACTAGTCACACGCATCTCTTTATTGGGGAAAAGTGAGACTATTATGCATTCTTTGTAGGTTTGCAACCTTACATGAAGAGCACCCATTGCATTTCTTTCATCTTTGAGAAAGCACCGGTACCTGTTCCAAGGGCCTAACAGTACGAAAATACATTCTGGCATCACACCTCTGAACTCAAGACTTTGTGTCATTAAAAAGAATAATTTTGGTTTGTAACAAGAAAAGATTATGAAATACATTGCAAGCACCTTGGTATAGCGTTATTACTGAAACCCACTTAATTCCCAGCTTTTTGACTGAGTGCTTTTTAAAAACCCACTGCACTAAGATTCACAATTTTAAGCTACATACAAATTAAAACTAGTAAGAATCAACTTAAGTCACAAGTTTCTCATCCTCAAGTGCAAGACCAATAATCTTGAAGTAAGCAGAATAAAGCAAAATTGACCCCAACCCGCCCTCCATGATGTTCCTGAAGTCCATATATTATTACTAAGTACAATCTCTGAAAATTGTTACTGACTGGTAAGAAATGAACCTGAGCTTTTACTTCTAAATACCCAATCACTAAACCACGGTAGCAGGCATTGGCCACCGATTTAATGGTATGACACAGAAAATTCCCATCAGGGTTCCATGCAATTTAGTGATACTCATTGTCACTGGTACTGACATTACGTTTGATCTGCATATTATAAATATGGAAAAGCTAAACTAGTCACCATTTACTCTTTTATTTAGCAGGAGAGTCAAAAAGTTGTTTGCTTGAATGGACTACATACATAAAAGTACAAACCTGTCCCCACCTACGAATTTGCTTGCCAAAGAGCAAGCTATTTTTCTAGATACAAAGGAAGAAAATTCTCATAGTCATGAAGAGTTTTCACCGGCACTTATGCAAAGTAAGGCAAACTTTCTAGTTACAGAGCAGAAAGCATTATAATACATGAAAGCTGTTTCTCATGCATGCTAGCTAAAAACCAATTCAGAGACCAAAGTTAAGTTGAATTGAGGTCTAGAACAACAGTCGATGCAAAGGGTAAGTCCTAAGCAACAAAAGAAGGTACTTTTGAAGGCTTATGTTTTCTTGTAATTAAACATTTTGGACTATACCATCATATCCCTAAAACTAAGGGAACCAAATTCAAAATGCTACCCTGAACATAATGCAGTCATCCTACAGAATACGACGAAGTCTTATGATTGGGAATGATTCCCAACACGTATTCAACTGTAGGCAAGTCAATGTTCCACACCACCTTCCCCCAGGTTTAGAGTATAGACATATTTAGATTAAGTCACATAACTTGAACTATTCACGTTAGATTCCCATCTAAGCCCAAGTTAGTAACAAAGGTGTTTCCATGGAGCCCATGTTTTAAAAAATTTTAAACCACATTACAAAAAAACTGTACTTTTAGTCTTAATTCACTAAACTTGCAGAATTGCCAAGATTGCATACTGAAATTACTGATATTGCTGACCCCTGGGCAGGTCAGTTTGCTACAACAGAGACTAATTATCACATGCTACAGAGTCCATGTCAAGGTGCTAAAAGCACTCTAGTTCCCAAGTATGGTTTGGTTCCCTCATCCCCCACACCACTGATGTGTTTCCATGTTATCTTCAGTTACAATGCAACTAAAGAAAACCACACAACTGAGTCAGAGATACCAAAGAATCAAGTTTGCACTTTTTATCTGAGAACTGCAACAGCACTGAATTCTGCCTGACAAATTACAGCTCTAACCCCAAACCCACACAGTTTTGATAAGCTAGCTTTACCATACAAGTTTTGGTGCTGCACTGTAATTTCACTGTCAGAAGTGTGATGTCAGAATGCCCACGGAATAAAAGTACATAGCAAGTCACCAAGTTAGATTATATTGCTTGTTACCTACCTGTATGCAGTCGGCAATGAGAATCTTGGAGCAAGCAGGAATACTACATCCGGGTCCTAATGTCCATTGCCATTTGCGGTACTACGTTCCTCACAGTTACGCACTGCAGAAATGCTGGCTAAATGCAGTTATGTAGCAGGCCACTACTTTAATAGTGCATAATTGCAGTCCAAGAACACCAGAAAACATTCCGCCACAACTTAGTGGCTTGCCCAAGAAAAGCCGAGTATCTAAATTTTTATCTGCCATAATATGCCACTTATAAAAATTGCACAGGCGTAACATTACAATTTCCCAAATTGTTATCTGTTTATATTGTTTGGTATAAATATTGGTATAATATTTATAAAGAGTGGTGGGTTTTATAGTACTTAGGAGTTTAATCAATGTTCTAAGCAAAGAGGATTATGGTTTCATTAAGTAACATGAGCCAATAGGTTAAGCTTGTAAGATACCTATTAAAAACACTGGGGGTGGGGGTCTTGGATAATGCAGCTTTAATTAAAGATTAGGAAGAGGTAAGTTTAAAAAATAAGTGTTCCTCTTAAAACAAAATTGTGAGAGAAAGTAGAGAAGAGGAAATGGGGGCAAGTGGTTTCTTTAAATGAGAAAAATGACTAAAATACTTCAAAATTATTGCCTTCCCTTTCCCACCCCAAGTTTCATATCAACTTTTAGGAAACTACTTTATCAAGATAATTTAAGTTCACATTAAGCTAAAAACTATCATATACATTGCAAGGCTTATTGAAAGTCTATGAGTAAGCTTACAACCCTTGGTACGCTGTTTCAGTGATGAAAGTCAATGTCAGTTGAAACTAAGCAACATTATTTGCTAAACAATGTTTAGCAATTCTACAGCCCACAGTAAGGGTCTCAAAAGCCACAACTTTCAGGAGATTATCCATTAGCATCCTTCACCACTCTTCAAAGGTACAGTACTACCAAAAGCTTATTTTAGGGGTCTGTGCCAGCATCCCTTATAAAGAAAGGCATGTAATCTGAAAAATAAACTGAAACATTAATTTTATAGGCAGATTTTCCCATTTCCCCACCAGCCCCCACCCACACACATTCAAGTTCACCCTCTGTGGGTGTCCCATGAACACCCCTTATTTTCTTGTCATTAGTAGAGTCCCTACTGTACAATTCAACCAAACTGTAATGGACTCCTTTCAAATCAAGACCCTTGTTTCCATACAGAAAATCTCATGTATCACCAATTTAATAACTTGACTTGGGACAAAACTTCCTTATTGGTATAATTATGGTAGAACTACTTATTTCCAAGTGTGTTGGTGGGCAGAAATAATGAGCATATTTTCTAATGATATTCTCTACCTTAATTAGCACACCATGTACCTATCAGTCATACAACGAGAATTTGATGAGATGCCTTTAAACTCTAGTAGAGTACTAGTGTATTATTCTGTTTCCTATGCAGAAAGTGCTCAGTTGTTTCAACAATAGGTCTCCTTTTGTTCTCAGGCACAATACTAAACTTCAGCATGTTAACAAAGGTTTGATTTAGAATTTTTCTTTTGCCAATTACCACCAAGAACAGAGGTGAAAAGGAGGAAGACACATTCTATAGTAAGAGTTCTATAATGTACAGATTTGAATGGAACATAACTAAGAACAAAGCCAAACCATTCAATTACCTTTACCTACTGTTAGGAAGTCGTTCCCCTAACATATTTACACTGGGAAGAAATCAGGCTCCTATTGAACTAAACAGGCAACAATAAACCATCTACTTTAATAGTCAAAAAGTCTCTTGTTCTAATGGAAGGAGATCCAATTTAGTTGACAATTAACTGACAACACCATCGAAACATTGCAAAGCTTCATGGTGGGAAGAAGGATATTTGTACTGTGTAGCATGAGCAACTCTCTCCAGATTTAGTGCTACATCAAAAGGAAACTATGTAAAAACAAGTTAACAAATTTACAGTAAGAATGATTATCTGCAAACCTATTTCTTATTAACAGTCACCACTAGCTCTTAGAAAAGAGGACCAATAGATTTTTATAGTCCCACAGATTTTGCCCAACACAAGTAGCACAAGGAGATGTAAAAGTTACAGAGTACAAATGTGTATATATTGGTAAACCTACTTTATGGTTACTAAACCTTATTTTCAAGTTGAATTTTTGAGACTAAACCCCACCTTTGTAAATCACTTGAAGTAATACATGAAAAGGCTTCATGTTTAACAATCTTTAATTCAAATGTAAAAGTTCAATACAAGCCATTTGTAGGGCTTGGGATTTGTTCTTTTTTTAAAAACAAGAAATGGGGAAATGCAACAAAATGATCTTTCCACTTTTCAAAAACTTTCAAGGAAAGGATCATAGGGCCATAAAATATCCATTTAACCAAACCCTCTTCCACCCCCTACAATAGTCTTACACCCATTCCATAATCTTAATACATATTCCTGAATGAAGATTTACAGTTCAGCTTTGCTTACATAACCATTTAAAAATACTTAGCACCGGCTTGCTTCCTATAATGCCAAACAAATCATGAAACTACTTCAATATGCATTTCTTCTTTTTAAAACAAGAGGGGGGGTAGTTATTTGTGGAAAGCAGTATTTAGCCTCCAGATACATTTCCCAGAAATGGCATATGCCATTCAAAGGCCTAGACATTCTCATGCTTTCAAAGTGAATACCTAGCCTAATGTGCATAGAAGCATGAATGGCAAAGTTGAAGATCAATATTATAACTATTTTTTCTATTTATTTGAAGCACAGTAAAAAAAAATTGGTACACTTTGGAAATTCAGTGGCACAAGGTACACTGCCATATAACTTGAGGGACATTATACAGTTAAAAAAAAAAAAGGAAATAAAAAGGAAAAAAATTTTTCTCCTGTTTCAAACACTGCATTACATAATTTTACCTGCCCAAACAGACCATTTACAAATATTAGGTCAATAAACTGCTAACATCCATAAAAAGGTAGCTTTCTTACTAAAATGCAAGAATTTAAAAGATTGGTATCTAAACAAGAAAAGACAAAAACAAACTGGAATGAAAGCCTAGATATCACATCTAAAATCGGGGTTTTTTGTTTGGGCCTTCATACTCTTCTCTCCCTCTACCATATCCTGCTGGAGTTCCAGGCCCCATTCCTCTAGGACCCTGTCCACCCACAGGCCCCGCACCTCCCTGCCCAAAGCGCTCAGTACGCTATTGGAACAGTAATTAACAGTTCATTATATGTAGTTGATGTCCATGTGTGTTAAGTAAATATTTTAGAAGGTTCCGTAGTCAACGTTCGTCGATACAATCACCAATGAGTCGATCCACAGGTACCGGGAACATAGAAAGGAAAAAAGGGTAATTTGAAAATTAGTTTACGATAATACATGCCTTGTGGTATGTTCCCACTTGAGCCATTCTCATACACCTGTTTCAAAGAATAGATCTTCCCTGTAGTGCTAAAAAATTTAAGAATTAGTGCAGATGTGAAAATCCATTCCAAAATGAGTTCTAAGAAATTTCACATCAGATTAACCCACTGAAAAAGCTTGCCAATTCTCACTTTCAAGGTCTGAACAGGAAATTTAATTTCCAAGTAAGCCTAAGAAGCCCAACCAGATTCAATTCACTCAATGAAGTGACAAAGACCTACTCACCAGTTAGTGGCATGTGCTGCATAAGAAACCTTGTGCTTTCAAGATCTTAAGACACATCTGCTAAGTTGCAGAAATCTTAAAAGGTTGCAAGTTTTAATAAAATGCTACCAGACTACAAAAAGAAAAAAGCATAAAAGACTAATAGATTTAGTCACTTAAGCGGCACAGCGATCAAAAAACTTGTGTTGCCATATTCTCTCACAGGTATACCACCTTCAGAGCCATCACTATATAACCAGAGACAATTATGTTCACAGGACCATTCTACATTGTTGCAAACTGAACATACTGCCCACCTTCACATCAGCCCAACTTTTCCCGTTAGGTCTTTGAAAAGTACAGACACTTTGCTGTAATGTCACGTTTTAGTTATCTCCCAAACGTCATAACACCAAGCTAAAGCGACTGCAATAAAGCAGTAACTTCATTATTCCATCTAGTTTTAGGTACTTCTAGACTTAAAATAGAAGCATTATGTACCCAAACACAGACCCCTTAGGTATGCAGACACAGCAGCCTACACTGTTATTCTACTTCCATCTAAAATGGACCCATTACTAAAAGCATTTCTCCAAAACAAAACTAAAATGGCAGAGTTTAACTGTTCCTATACATAATTTCAACTTTTTGTTTTACAAAATACTACAGAGCTATGTGAAAAAACTAAACTTCAGTCCTTTATTTTTGAAAATCTTATCAATTGTAGGGGTTTTGCGCATTGTACTGTTATGTCACTAAGAGCTTAAAGGAAAGTTTGGGGGTTTCATGGTGATGTTATCTGAACAGTTGAGAACCCAGAAGCTACCTGTTAAGCTAGAATATAGAATCTTTAATCATGGGAACATGTCAAATTAGATTTTACAAATTTGATACATACCTAACAATCTATCTTTAGGAAGCATATAAACCAAAATGTTACTCACATACTTTAAAATAGAATTTTAAGAAAGCTAACAGTACTACATTTTACCCAACCAGCCATTTACAATTCTAACTTTAATTCTCAAAAAGCCGTAGGTAGATTTTAAACAGGTGAGGCCCTATACTAAATCTTTGTTTCTACTTATAAAATGAATATTGTGAGCCCCACACTGCAGCTCCCCTCCTTTGCCAAAAGCCTTTAGGTGAACCAATCTGACTCAATTCAGCTATAAAAGCCCACTCTCTAAACCCACCAAAATTCAGTCCTGAGGATTTGTAAAGCCCTAATGCAGCCACTCATATCAAGTCACTTGATTGTTCTAAAGCTTTTGACAGGCTATCTATACAGCTAAAACATGACAGCATCAAGAAGTTTAAGATCAAATGCACACTATTAGTATGCTTAAAATTATTGATTTTTGCTACCCTATAGCAAAATGGAGATGTCAGTTTATTTTAGAAGGTGTACCTACAGACAGGCCCAACCGGTGGGAAACGACGAGTCAAAACACTAAACAATTCCCTTTTCATGAGATAGAAGCCACACCGAATTATAGGTCAAGTCCTACAAGTCACTAAAACATGCCTAAAGCTACAAACTACAAGTCTGATTCCTACTTATGGCAAATACCAGCTTAAGGAATGATAGTTTGCCATTTGATTACTCTCACTTGGATGTAGAATAGTCAGATACATTATCTAGCACTTAGAATTTAGAGTTGCCATGCACTTAGAGTTCAAAAGCACCTAAACCTACTATTGCCAAAGATAATTCCACATACTACTAACAGTATTGACTTCTGATTGGCAACCCATATCTGTTTAGGTTACCACACACTGAATTCTTCTATGTTGCCAAAGTATTCCTGAATATTACAGTTATGTATGATAGGGAAAACTAAGAGGTCCAGTCACCTACTTAAAAAAAAAAAAAAAAAAGCAAAAAACACAGTAAGTCATGAAAATGAGATTCTCCTTTGTACTATGTCCCACAGGATACATTACCATGTCGCTTCCCATCATGGAACCACTCATGGTTGCTGGTGGAACTCCAGGATTAGCTTCATAACCTATGCCACCACCACCACCTAGAGGTGGAAATTTCTGGCCTCCTGAACCATAGGGATCTAAGAAACAAAAATGGTGGTTACAAATCCACCAAAATATTGCTTTCTAATGATATTTTAAAATTTAATTTTCATACTTACCTCCCATGTTCATTGCTCCTCCGCCACCCATCCTCATGTCTCTTTCTCTCTGAAAGAAAAATTCCTTTAATACACATGTTCTGTACTTATGCCAAGCATTATTGAGTATACAAGAGATTTAAGACTTAAAAAAATACAGTGAGGTTCAAAAGGCAGTTTTTCATCACCTGAAGTATTCTTAAAATCAATAATCTAGAAACTAGGTTAGATTCAATTATCCAAAGACCTGTAAAACTTCCTAGCCAATGAAATCTTCAGGACAATAGAAGGAACAGAACAAACGTAACACAGTTGTAGAAAAAACAAGAACGAAAAATTAGGAAATGATCATAAGGTGGAAATGTTATATTTCCTTAAGAGACAGGTCTCACTCTATTGCCCAGGCTGGAGTGCAGCGGCACTATCATAGCTCATTATAACCTAGAAATCCTGGGATCAAGCAATGTTCCCACCTCAGCCTCAAGAGTAGCTAGGACTACAGGGTCAAGCCACCACACCCAGCTAATTTTTCTTTTCTTTTGTAAAGATAGGGTCTCTCTCTTGATCAGGCTGGTCTTGAATTCCTGACCTCAAGCAATCCTACCACCTCTGCCTGCCAAAGTGTTGGGATTACAGGCATGAGTCACTGTGCCTGCAGAGATGTTATATTTAACTGACCAAAATTCCAATCTGGGTACCTAGGAGTTCTGTAGATAACTCCAATTATTGGCAATAAAAGCTGACTTACTGGATCCATGTAGCCCATTCGGCTGTAACTTTCCTCTCTTTGGCGCCTCATTTGTTCTTCCATCTCACGTTGACGAATCATCATCTCTTCCTCCCTTCTACGTCGTTCCTCTTCTTGTCTGAAAATATAATAGGCATATAAACCAAAGTGTTATTTATAGCTTCTAAAATTCAATGTGAAATAAGCTAGTACTTTGTCTAAGAACCTTAGAAAGTCTAGGTTAGAGTCAAAAAACAAAGGCCTAGAGAACAAGCCTAGGAACATAGCACTAAAGTCATTCTAGCCAAGAAAACAAGGTTTATTAATGAAAATCTTACACTCAGTATTAAACCAACCTTTTAACCTCTCTGTATATTCCATCTAACCCACTTACAAAATTAAGCATACTTTTTCCTAAATGTTAGAAAATGGTTGTACAGTCCAGGCACAGTGGCTCACACCTGTAATCCTAGCACTCTGGGAGTGCCAAGGCAAGGGATGCCTTATGGTCAGGAGTTTAAGATCAGTCTGAACAAGAGTGAGATCAGCCTCTACTAAAAATAGAAAAATTTAGCCAGGTGTAGTTGGCCCGTGCCTGTAGTCCCAGCTACGTGGGAGGCTGAGGCAGGAGGATCACTTGAGCCCAGGAGTTTAAGGGAGCTATGATGACACCACTGCACTCAGAGCTAGACTGTCTCAAAAAAAAAAAAAAAAAAAAAAAAAAAAAAAAAACATGATTGTAGAAGTAAAGGCTTAGTTTAATAAAGTTTTACCTCAATTGCATTTCTTTACGTTTCTGCATTTCTTGATTGTGAAGTTCTTCCATGCGTCTTAACTCTTCCTGTCGTCTCATGAGATCTGAACATTGGAAAGTAATATTTTAGATTCACATTAATGAGGCTCCGAAAAGTTCAAAAAGCAACTAATCCCATCAGTGAAGTTAACATTGAACGACTTTTTACCTTGGCGCAAAAGATTTGCCTGATGTTCATGATAAGCATCTTCCATTTCACTTTCCAATTTGTCTTTTGCATCTTTCATGTTTTTTTCAACTTGTTCCCTTTGCTGTTTTTCCATTTCATCCAAGGACTTCCATCGCTGAGAATATTCATACTCAAATGTGCCATGCTGGGCAAAACGAGGAGGAGTTTCTCTCTCCCTAATACACAAATTTTAAATATGAACCAATTTGTGAATGCATACCAGAAACACTACCCAATTCCCCTAAAAATACGGGTCTTTTCCTGGCCTATCACTTGTAAGGAATACAAAAAGGAAAGAGTGGCTTAAGTCATATAAAATACCTTCACAGCGAAAGTACTCTGAGAATGATACAGTAACAGAGAATATGGGCACTGAAGTTTAAAACTTTGTCCTCATTTCCTAATTCTGTCCTCCTCTAGCCAAATTCCTTACCAAGGCTTATTTCTTCTATCCTTAAAAATGCACTTCACGGTAACTGTTATAAAACAGGATTGCAGGCTGGGCGCGGCGGCTCACACCTATAATCCTAACACTCTGGGAGACCAAGGCAGATGGATTGCTCAAGGACAGGAGTTAGAAACCAGCCTGAGCAAGAGCGAGACCCCGTCTCTACTATAAAAATAGAAAGAAATTGGCCAACTATTAGATATAGGAAAACTTAGCCGGGCATGGTGGCACACGCTTGTAGTCCCAGCTACTTGGGAGGCTGAGGTAGAAGGATGGCTTGAGCCCAGGAGTTTGAGGTTGCTGTGAGCTAGGCTGACACCATGGCACTCACTCTAGCCCGGGCAACAAAGTGAGACTCTGTCTCCAAAAAAAAAAAAAAAAAAAGGATTGCAGTGAATGTACCTACCTCAGAAACAAATAGCTATTTGAAAAAGAGCTTCAAATCTCTATAACTTTAAGAATTTTTATCAATATCAATACCAAGGAATTTTGTATATTTTAAGCAAAACTAGAAAATTACTACAGCAAGTTCTCTTTTACACTGAAATTTTAAAAAGCTGCCAAAAAGTTTAATCAATCTTACTTTTGATACATTGGATTCTTCTGTGCAAGTTTTTCAGGAAGACCATCTTCATCATCTAATTGTTCAAGTGGTTCCACAATAACTGGGCGAGGAGTTCTATTAACAAAATAAGATTCCATCTTAACTTTGTTCCAGTTTTACTACAACCTTCTCATTTAATAAATAAAAATTAGAATAAAAACAAAAGACAACTTACGTTGTCAGTAAGAAAACACCTTCACTGCATCGTTCAAATGCTTTTCTTGCTGCTGGTTTAGAAGCAAATTCAACAATGCCTTTCCCTGTAGATCTTCCACGATCATCCACAATTACAACAGCCCTTTCAATAGGACCAAACTGGCTAAAAGCTTCTTCCAACAATTCATTGGAAACGTAAGGTGAAAGATTACGAACAGAAAGGGCAGCAGCATGTGTGGCAAATCGAACCCGAAGCTGTCTACCTCTCATGGGGGTATCATCAAGTTCAGCTTTGGCAATTTCAGCCAAGGCTCTAGACTCCTGTAAGTATCAGAAGCACTCATGTTAAAGACATCAAAATTGGTTAATGCTCACTCTCAAATTGTCCTAAGCCTAATTCCTACTCCTATTCAGCTTCCAGCTCAGTTCAAACATTGTCTTCAAGCAACCTTCCCTGACACCTTTATCTTCAGGGAAGTTAAAAGGCTTTATCCATCCCACCTCCCCTTTCTTCTTAGGTGCCAAAAATTATGCATTACATGGCAATTTAAAAAATGATGAAAACTTTGAAGACTAACTTATTCTCTCTGGTTTAAATTCAAGCCGTCAGCATTTGTAGCAAAAACAAAAACAAACACCCCCCCCCAAAAAAAAAACCCTCACCCTTTTAATTTCTAAATAAAATCCAATCATTACACTCACAAGTTTAATAAATCCAAATCCTTTGCCTTTGTTGATAAAAACTTCTCCTGGTTCTCCATATTTAGCAAATAGTCTTTTGAATTCATCCTCTGTGATATCAGCCGGTAGATTCCCAACAAACAAACGACAGCGCTGTGTGTAAGTTTTCTCTCCAGGCCTCCTCAAGAGAGACAAGTTGGCTTTAAACCCCTAATGAAAAAGAAAGGATATTTTCAAACGCCAGTTACCTCTCCAGGTATTAAGAACCCCAAAATAATTTATGCTTTTCAGAAACGGAACGTGTTTAGTTGATTTTCTACTCCATTTAGTCAAAATGGAGGATTTCTCGTACTTGAAATTTCCTATAAGATCACTATGCTATCATCGACAAGGGAGCCCAATCATCCAGAATGCTCGAGGACACATACACTTCCCCAAAGAGTAGACCACACCATACACGCTATGCTCAGTGTCCCTGAAAAACCCAATCGTAATACAGACAAAAATCAAAATAGTTGTCAGGAAAATGGGGAAAAAAACACAAAATCTAAATGCTGTCGTCCCCTGCACTACTTGCGCCTACTCAGACAGGAACCGCCCAGTTTGTCCAACCCGACACGTCACGCTCTGCACTACCCCGGTAGCAAGGATCGGCTAGCTCCCACAAGGCCCATCACCGCTGCCCGGCGCTTCCTTCGGAAAGGCCACCCTCCCCTGGTTTTCCGCCAGCCTCGAGGCCAAGAGACAGGCGTGGCGGCGGCCAATCCCTGGCCGACTAGCTGCTCCGCGCCGCCGCCCCGCTCCGCAGGCCGCCCCGCCCCCGCGCCGCGTGCGCAGGCGCCCCTTCCGGCACGGACAAAATGGAGGGCCTAGCGCGGGGGCGGGGGCGAGGAGGGGGCCGCCGCCATCTTAGGGAGCCGACGCGTCGCTCCCGGTTACACTCACCTCGGAGTCCGAAATTTTTTCTTCGCTGCGGCCGCCAGGCCCGCCAGGCGGGGGCCCCTGGTGGTGCTGCTGGTGGTAGGGCGGGTGATGCTGGCGGCCCCCACGAGGCTCTCCGCCGCCTCGGTGCGGCGGCTTGGGGTGGCCACCAGGAGTGCTCAAGCCAGGGCCGCCACCGGGCTTCGGCCCGCCAGGCATTTTGCCGCCCTTGGGGCCGCCAGGCCCGGGGCCCTGCTTAGGCCCCGGGCCGGGCCCTGGGCCCCCTGCTGGTGGAGGTGGCGGGCCCCCCGCCTGAGGGGGAGTGGTCGGGACCCCGCTACTTGGTGGGGCCGGTGGAGGCGCCCCCGGGGGAGCAGAGGTGACGGCGGGCGGCGGGGTCGGGGTGGGGCCTGGCCCTGGGCCTGGCGGGGCCCCGGAGGTCGGGGGAGTGGCAGGCGGGGCCGAGCTGGAGGCCGGCGGCGCGCTGCTTACGACCGGAGCAGGGCCTGGTCCCGGAGGAACGACGGGCTTGGATGAGTCTTGCGGCGGCGGCGGCGGCTGCTGATGCGGCTGCGGGTGCGGCGGTGGCTGATGTGGTGGCGGCTGCTGTGGCGGAGGCTGCTGCGGCGGTGGCTGCTGCTGCTGTTGGTGCGGAGGCGGTGGCGGGATCGGAGGCTTAGGGCCGCCCTGTCCGGGACCGGGACCCATGGGGCCGCGGTTCTGACTGAGGCCCATGCCGGGCGGCGGTGAGCGGAAGTCGTGGAGACCTCCGCGGCCGCCGCCTCCTCCGCGCCGGTGGAAGCCACCACCGCCACCGCCGCGACTCCGGAACCGATCCCGAGACATGTCTGTGGTCAAGGGGCGGTCGAGGCAGAAGCGAAGAAGACGCTCGGGGAACGTGGAGGCCACCTTGCTCCGAACAAAATGGCGGATGACACAGGCGGCGCGCCGCCTTTGTCCTCTTCTTATATAGGCCAGCTGGCACGGCCCCGCCTACTGCTCGATGGGCAGCCGCAGTAGCCAATTGCAATTACAGTCCTTGATGACATTAGATTGAGTACCGCTAATCTTTCCTATTGGCTCCTGGGTGAGGGGGCGGGGCTAAAGTTTCTAGTTAGCCAATGAGCGGAGAAGGCGTAGGCTGTAGGCCACTATGATTTGCTGGGAGAAATTTGAATGGGTATGCCAGAGCAATTTTCCCGTGAAAGCAAATACCAGGGCCCTGTCAACTCCTTGGGGAGGTGTTGGTGGGCTTTTCTTTCCTGGTTGCCTCTAGGGCAATCTACTGATATCCTTGCTTAGAAAAACCGATATTCTTGGGTTCAAAGTAATAAATTAAGTACCTACTATTTGCCCTACCTCGTGCTGGGTCAATGAAATTAGGGAAGTAAAATCTTACCGATTTCAAACACACTCTTGATTTCATTTTGGAACTTCATAGGAATAGAGGTGTGTTGTAGCAGCATACACTTTGTAATAGGCTTTAGTGGGTGGGCTCTTTGTTAAAAAAAAAATTCATCTGGAAAGCCGAAAAAAGAAGAAAAAAAAGCCTTTGGTTTTGTGTTCGTGCACACTAATAATCTACAAACACAAATCACAGGAGAAATATAAATATTTCTTAAGTCCACCACCATTCAGCACTTTATGAACAGACTAAGGTACTTAAATTTTACAATATTGAAATATCTAAATGGCACCAACCAATTGGCAACATCCTTAGTTCAAAATCTCCAGTTTCTTTAAAGTCCGCAGAACTTTTGGTAGATCATTCCTCCCTCAACATCAGCTCATGGCTTATTGTCTTTCTTTCCACCTCTACTTCTCTACTTCATTTAATATCCACATGGGTGACCCACTCAACACCCTGTCAGTTCCTTACCTCCTCACTTCCAGCAATCTTTCCTTCTATGCTATATCAGCCATCCATTCTCCCACCCTCCATCATGGTCATCCCTGTGATTGCTATTGCCAGTAACTACATCATCTCTAAAATCTCTAAGCATGCCTCTCACTGGTCATCCTTTCTTTTCCTTCTGGTTCACTTACCATAGTAACTTCACACTTCTTTGAGCTCATAAAAACCTCCGAAGCATTAAATGTATTATTTTTTCACTATTTCTCAGATTCTTATATTCATAGACTGCCTCACCCAGTTTAGATGTTATGATTACCTAAAAACACAACTTTTATTTTTCTCTTTTTTCATTATACTCGATAAAACCCCGACTCTAGTTGAATCCATTAATTCACCTTCTCTAACAGAGACTGAAGCTTTCCCTTGAAATTCTTTTTTTTTTTTTTGAGACAGAGTCTTGCTCTGTTGCCCAGGCTAGAGTGCCATGGCGTCACCCTAGCTCACAGCAACCTCAGACTCCTGGGCTCAAGCGATCTTTCTGCCTCAGCCTACCGAGTAGCTGGGACTACAGGCATGCGCCACTATGTCCGGCTAATTTTTTCTATATATTTTTAGTTGGCCAATTAATTTCTATTTTTGGTAGAGACCAGGGTCTCGCTCTTGCTCAGGCTGGTTTTGAACTCCTGACCTTGAGCAATCCTCCCAGCTCGCCCTCCCAGAGTGCTAGGATTACAGGCGTGAGCCACCACTACCGGCCTCCCTTGAAATTCTTGACCACAAACCTAAAAAGGGCATTAGACTTTGCCTGGTAGGCTTACTGAATTTCCCTAGTAAGTTCACTTTCCTACTTCTAGAAATAGTTTATTTCATGCTTTCTCTCTTCTAAGTCCTGTATCTTCTTCTAACTGCCCACCCTATAACCATGACCTCAGATTTATTTGAGAAAATAAAAATCATCAGAAAGAGACATTCTCATCCAACTTTAAAGCCACAGGCCTACTTGCATTTGCTTCATATTTTCTTTTTCTTTTTCTTTTTTTTTTTTGAAACAGAGTCTCAGTTTGTTGCCCAGGCTAGAGTGAGTGCCTTGGCATCAGCCTAGCTCACAGCAACCTCAAACTCCTGGGCTCAAGCAATCCTCTTGCCTCAGCCTCCCAAGTAGCTGGGACTACAGGCATACGCCACCATGCTCTGCTAATTTTTTCTATATGTATTAGTTGGCCAATTACTTTCTTTCTATTTATAGTAGAGACGGGGTCTCACTCTTGCTCAGGCTGGTTTCGAACTCCTGACCTTGAGCAATCCGCCCGCCTTGGCTTCCTAGAGTGCTAGGATTACAGGCGTGAGCCACTGTGCCCAGCCTGCTTCATATTTTCTACCTTCCTTCCTGATACTATGAAAGATGTGTCTTTACCCCTATTAAAACACAACCCTTGTGGCGAGCATTGTTGGGGGGAAGGGATTACCTCTATCCCTTTTTAGGGAGAGATAAAGATATACATTGTAACCAAAATGTCTGAAAAAAAATCTGTAATCGGGAAGTGGGCAGGTGGAAGGGGGGAGGAGGGGAAAGGTATGTACTTACACGGTGGGTGCCGTGTGCACCACCTGGAGGCTGAACACGCTAGAAGCTCTGGCATAGCAGGGTGGAGGAGGGGGGACAGGGGCAAGATATGTAACCCTAACAATATTTGTACTCCCATAATATGAAGTAATAAAAAGAAAACAAACACAACCCTTGCCTTGTGCTATGGACCCCGCCTCCTCAAACCTTCTCAAGGATTTTTCCTTGCTATATCATCAGTTACTTCCACTGGATCATTACCATTTTAAAATTAAAATCTTCCCTTTGTCAGGTGTGGGAACCAGATGTCAGGTCCCTGTGTTTCCTAGTTCTTGATTCCAAGTACTGAAGAATGGTTACTGGTACCAAGTCAACAGAGCAAATAAGCAGACCAAGCAGATGCAAGCAAGCCAAGTGCAAAAGTTTATTAAAGCATAGAACATTCCAAAGAAGGAATGGGTCAACCCCCATGAATGGAGAAGACCCTGAGTTTAACAAGATTCTCCTTTTTATGCTGATTCCCTAATTTTGTGTTGGGGGGATGGAATATTCATGGTTTTCTTGGAAAAAGGTGGATAATTGCTAGAATGGTGAAACCTCCCCTTTTCTATCCTTGTAAGGCAATCTCTGGGGGTTGCTATGGTATTCGTAAACTGTCATGGCGCTGGTGGGTATGATTTTTTTTTTTTTTGAGACAGAGTCTCGCTTTGTTGTCCAGGCTAGAGTGAGTGCCGTGGCATCAGCCTCCCGCTCACAGCAACCTCAAACTCCTGGGCTCCAGCGATCCTTTTGCCTCAGCCTCCCAAGTAGCTGGGACTACAGGCATGCGCCACCATACCCGGCTAATTTTTTTTTTTTATATACATATCAGTTGGCCAATTAATTTCTTTCTATTTATAGTAGAGACGGGGTCTCGCTCTTGCTCAGTCTGGTTTTGAACTCCTGACCTTGAGCAATCCGCCCGCCTCGGCCTCCCAGAGAGCTAGGATTACAGGCGTGAGCCACCGCGCCCGGCCTGATTTTTTTTTTTTTTACTGTGTTAATGAGGGTAAGTCATTTGAGGATACTGTCACCTCGTATGCATGCTCCAAAGACCCTCATTTGTGGCCTAGATCATAGCTCTACTTTGTGGCCTTTCTACCACTTTCTGTTTAGTCAGTCCTTAGAGACCCCTTATAGTAGACTAAATATCTGGTCAGTCCTTGGGAGCCCCTCAATGCATCATCTGTTCTTTTTTGAAAGCCCCACTTCTGGTCAATTTGCTCCTCCTAGTAGACAAAGCATCTCCTAATGTCATCTATTTTTCAATGGACAACCCCCCCCCCACAAAGCATCTATTCCCCTTCCTCCTTGTCCCAACCTTACACCTTTGTCCTATCCCATTTCTTTGCTCTTTGCAACAAAACTTCTAAAACAAGTTGTCTACACTCACAGTCTCCATTTCCTGACCTCTATTTTCTCTTAAACCCATCCCAATCTGCCCACTAATTCCTTCCTCCTAAACTGTTGCCAAGGATACCAATGATCCTCATGTTGCCAAATCCAATAAACATTTATCTACACTTGTCTTCTTTTCCCTGTTAGCAGCATTCAACATAGATGGCACTGTCCTTCATGTGGCACTTTTCTCACTGGCCTGCTGTTCACCACACTGTCATGAGTTTCCTACTGCCTCACTAATCATTCCATCTCCTCCCTTGTAGGATCTCGAAATGTTGAGACATCTTAGGGCTCAGTTCTCAGATATCCAGCCTCTTATTAGACATCTACACTTGGAGATTTGATTGGCATATCAGATTTATTTATTTACTTTTGAGACAGAGTCTCGCTCTGTTGCCCAGGCTAGAGTGCTGTGGCGTCAGCCTCGCTCACAGCAACCTCAAACTCCTGGGCTCAAGCGATCCTGCTGCCTCAGCCTCCAGAGTATCTGGGACTACAGGCGTGTGCCATCATGCCTGGCTAATTTTTTCTATACATTTTTAGTTGTCCAGCTAATTTCTTTCTATTTTTCGTAGAGACGGTGTCTCACTCTTGCTCAGGCTAGTCTCTGAACTCCTGAGCTCAAACGATCACATCCGCCTCAGCCTCCCAGAGTGCTAGGATTACAGGCGTGACCCACTGCGCCCCGCCAGCATATCAGGTTTAATATGTCCAACTGGAATCTCTTAATATTGTCAACCTAACCTATTCCTTCCCCCAAACTCCTCCATCATAATAAATAGCACCACCTTGTCGTTCAAAACAAAAAACTAAGATCTTCTTCGTAAAATCCAAAAATCGGTTCTACCTCTGAAATCTATCTCGAATCCATTTATTTCTCTCCACCTCTGTCACCTAAACTACTGCAACCACTTCTTTTCTTTCTTTCTTTTTTTTTTTTGAGACAGAGTCACCTAGGCTATAGTGCAATGGCGTCTGCCTAGCTCACAGCAACCTCAAACTCCTGGGCCCAAGCAATCCTCCTGCCTCAGCCTCCCGGGTAGCTGGGACTACAGGCACGTACCACTGTGCCCAGCTAATTTTTTTATTTTTAGTTGTT